CTTTCAGAAGTTTGAATTCTGACTATTCTGACTTTTCCTTTAAGCTCTATATCTATTCTCATGTGCTTCTTATATTGCTTTAATGTAGATCTGCTGCAGAAATTAGAGGACGAGGGAAGAGTTCCAGTGAATTGAGGGTGGAACACTATTACAGATGCTTATGCAGCATCTTTGTTTCTACTTGTGAAGCTGTAAGTGATAAATAAATAACATAAGCAGCAAATTTGGGTGAAGGTCTTTTCCAGCCGTTTACTTCTTCACGTTTTCATAGATTTGCAGCTTTTTGTCCTTTTGATATCGTATTTTTCCTGGTTAGGGAGTCTGTTGGTCTCTATTTTGGGCTGTCATAAATTAATTTTATGAAATCACTAGTGTCATTTTAGAGGTATTACGTCCCCAAAATTAACAAAAACTTAAAATCTGTTTGCGATAACCAGAAGCAAAAAGTAGATTATTTTCTTGGTAGATGTAAGACTTGTTTCACGGTTCCACAACCTGAAACAGAGGAACACAGACAGACAGTTAAAATGAAACTAAAATGTAAAGATTTTCCTAAACGTGCCTAGAAAGGAGATTACTTTAATTGCTCCTCAATTAATGTTTTTTTGTAAGTTTTACATTTAGTTTTATAGTCGGAACTGAAACGACGACTAAACAGAGAACACAACTGAATATTTAGCATGAGAAGAAACATTTTAAAGATATTTTCTTTTTTTTGTTTCTTTTTTAAGGAGAGTGACTAACTTTTCTAAAAGTACTTACTTTATACCTTCAAACTGCCATGGACGCTCAGTCCTGCTTCATTTATTTATAACCAGCGACTCACAGTCTTTTTTATGGTGTCCTGTGTTCCAGTAGGAGAAACAGATGAGAACAAATTTAAAGTAATGCTTACAGGGTAAATGTATATATCAACTGAATGATACCCTTTCAGATATCTTTCACACAAAAAAAGCAAGAACTGATCAAATGAAATCTTGTCACAAAACAACAAAAGGAAACTGAACAATTATCTGGCTTCTTCTGTTGGAGAATAACTGCAGATTTATGAAGACCTTCTCTTTTTTCCCCTCATTGATCCATTGCTCGGTGGTGCAGTGGGCAGCACTGGTGCCTTGCAGCTAGAAGGTTCCTGGTTTGATTCCTGGCCCAGGCTCTTTCTGCACGGAGTTTGCATGTTCTCCCTGAACAGGCATGAGTTCTCTCTGGGTACTCTGGCTTCTTCTCACAGTCCAGTTTATTATTGGACTGTGAGAGGAAGGTTCATTTAGTTAATTAGCTTCTCTAAATGCTCCTTAGGT